ACCACAGAGGAGATTGCATCCTCTGTTGATCGGTTCTCACGGTATGCGTACTGATGAGGGTCCTCGTTGATGTTGATGGTTGTTTTGATGTGAGTCATGACCAGTTTTTCGAAGCATTTAGCGACTATCGGGGTGAGGGCCACTGGCCGATAGTCATTCAGACCAGTCACTGTAGAGCTTTTTGGGACTGGGATGATGGTGGCAGTCTTCAGGCAGGTGGGAACTGTCTCCAGGGTAAGTGAGGTGTTAAAGATGTCTGCCAGCACCTCACAGAGCTGATCAGCACATTCCTTCAACACTTTTCCGGGGATGTTGTCTGGGCCAGTTGCTTTGTGCGGATTAATCCTCCTGAAGGTACTCCTTACTTCTGCTGAGGTCACGCTGAGATGCTCTTCATCCGGTGGTGAGGTGAGTCTGGTGCTGGGTGGTCTGTTTGGGTCTTCAAAGCGTGCATAGAACTTGTTGAGGGCATCAGGCAGAGATGGGTCTTTGGGGCATTGTTCGCTCCTTCCTTTATAATCTGTTATGCACTTAATGCCCCTCCACATGCTCCGAGGGTCTTGTGAGATGAATTGACCCTCGATCCTCTTTGCATATGTGCCCTTGGCCCTCTTAATACCAGCAACCAGCTCTTTTCTTGTCTTACTCAGCTCCTCTGAGTCTCCAGACCTGAAGGCAGTGTTCCTGGCTTCCAGCAGGGTACGCACCTCTGCATTCAGCCAAGGTTTTCTGTTTGGGTAGCTTTTAACATTTTTGATAGTGGAGACGGTGTCAGTACATGTACTAATGTAACCCAGAACTGAGGATGTGTATTGGTCAAGATCAAGCGAACCTCCATTTTCAGCAACTTCTCTGAAAACCTGCCAGTCTGTTCGGTCAAAACAATCTCTCAGTATGGGGCCACTGTCCTGGATCCAGCATTTAACTTTCTTTGGTACCGGTCTGGAGCGTCTCAGCGGGGGCATGTAAGCAGGAGCCAGGAAGATTGAGATGTGGTCTGACAGTCCTAGGTGGGGGCGGGGTTCGGCTTTGTATGCATCTTTTACGTTCGTGTAAACACGGTCCAGCGTGTGGTCTCCACGTGTTGGAATCGTCACATGTTGATAAAAGCTTGGGAGACAGTCCTTTAGATTCACGTGGTTAAAGTCTCCGGCTACCACGTAAAGAGCCTCGGGGTGTTTGTTCTGCAGCGAGCTGATGATATCATGAAGCTCCTGCAGTGATTCATTAGCATTAGCGTCCGGAGGAATGTAAACGACAGAGATGAAAGTCACCGTGAACTCTCGGGGTAGATAATGTGGCCGACATTTCACTGATATTTGCTCCAAAGCCTTCGAGCATGAGCTATTTACAACAGTACAGTTCGTGCACCAACTTTTACTCACGCAAATGCATACTCCGCCTCCCCGTGATTTCCCCGTTAGCTCGCTGCAGCAGTCCGCTCGAAAAAAAAGTGTCATCCAGCTAGAAGACGGTGTCCGGCGTTTCGCTTGTAATCCACGTTTCCGTGAGGCAAAGCATTGCACACTTCTTCATCTCTTCTGAGTCGCTCGCTCTCAGACGAAGTAAATCCACCTTGTCCAACGAGCGGACATTCGACAGAAAGAGAGACGGCATGGGGAGTTTACCGGCTTTAGCGTTAGCTTGTAGCCTCACCATAACCCCCGCCCGGCATCCTCTCCTCTTAAGCCGGGAGCAGCGCTTCCTCTTCTGCCCGCTGGAACGCCTCTGCTGCAGCTTCCAGAGAGTCAGAGTCAGAGTTTCTTTATTGTCATTCGCACCTCATGTGGTACATGTGGTGGAGCGAAATTATGTACATAGGGTCCCAGTTACATCCAACAATAAAATGTATAAGAAAAACAGTAACATCTAAGATATGAACTAAGAAAAACATCAACTAAATATACACTAAGCACTCATAACATAAAACATTGAACATCAGCACAAACATGAACATGAGTCTGTGAGCAGATGTGCACGCATGAACACATCAACATTGAAACAGATCAGCAGCAACATGAAACAGATCAGCAGCAACATGATATGGTTTTTCACAGT